GCCCCCGAGCCCGCGCCTCCCGCCGCCTCCCGGGCCCTCCCGAGGACTGAGCCTCCCTGGAGAGCGCGGGCTTGCTCCTGGCACCACTGGCGCGGGCCGCCCCGCATCTTGGGCGGAGGCCTGGGGAGAGCGCGGGTGCGAGGGTCCCAGTGACCACAACTGCCCCGTGGGCTCCTGGGCGCCGCTTCTCCCTTCGGGCGCTGTGCGCCTTGGCGGTTGCGGGCCAGCCGCTCTCCTCTCTGAGCCTGGCTTCCTTACCTAAACGACGGACAGGCTCTGCTGACCCCACAGAAAATTAAAGCTCGTACCTGTTACTATAGTAATTAATATTCTTTGCTTTCTTTAGCAGTAAATTCATCGAGCACGTTGATCCTGCTGTTCCTCTCAAATGGCACCGAGTTACCCCTGCCAGCATCTCCCACCTCTCCTGAAAGCTAATTGCCATTTTTAAAAGGTGAGCACAGAGCCACGCACGTGATTTAAAAATCAACACATGTTTGCCCTGGTCCCTGTGGCTCAGTTGACTGAGCCTCCTACCTTGCACCAAAAGGTTGCAGGCTTGATGCCCCGGCCAGGGCACATGCCGGGGTTGTAGGTTCCATATCCAGGCAGGGTGCATGCGAGAGGCAACTGGTCGATGTTTCTCTCTATCTGTCCCCCTCTCCCTTCCTCTCTCTCTAAAAATAGATGAAAACATATAAAAAATCAATATATGTTTGCTATTATTATTGTTCATGTTATTGACCAGTTGTCGACGGCAGCTTCCTAGACTAGGCCTGCTCTTTTACTTCCATTTAAACTGCACACCCCTATGAAGTAGCTATCACTACCCCCAATAGCAGATAAGGGGACAAGCCTCAGAGAGGTTCAGTAACTTGCCCAAAAGAGAGCCAGAGAGCAGCCACGTCAATTCCAACTCTTTGTACCTACAGCTCACACTCTCCTCCTTGACAAAACCTCCTATCTAGGTGGTTCTCAAACTTAGCAGTACCTTAGAATCACCAGGGGAGCTTTTTAAAATTCTGATTCTCTAGGTGGCACCCAGACCAATCACATCAGTGTCCCTGGGCACAGGTCTCAGGGCACAAGCACGGCATATTTTAATGCTCCCTAAGTGATTTCAATATGTGGCTAAGGTTGAACCCCTGCACTCGATGTAGGTTCTCCTGCAGCTCCTCTCTGAAGCCTCTCACTCCCTCCTTTTCAGTCAGGGGCTGTGCACCCTTCTCTGAGCCTAGAGCTGCCTCTGATTTCCTGGCTCTTGCAGTCACTCCCTCCACAAATAATTCTTGTGCCTCTGTTGTGCGCCAGGCTGCGCTAGAGGCTGGAGACTGAGCAGGGAAGAAGACAGAGCACCATTGCTCTATTACACAAAATCATAAGTAACTAAAATAGCAACAGTTCTCAAACTATTGGATCTCGGAACCTCTTTACATTCTTAAAAGTTATTGAGGACCTCCCCAAAATCACAACCCCAGTCTAATCATAATTTTTTAAAATCTGACAAATTCCAGCATCCTACAATAAATCTGACCAACGCTCCTCAAAACTCAAGTCATCAAAAACAAAGAAAATCAGAGAAACTCTCATGGGAGACTAAGGAGATTTGATGACTAATATAATGTGGGGTCCGCAGGGGCTCCTGGAACGGAAAAAGGATATTAAGAGAAAACGGAGGAAATCTCAATAGTGTGGGCTTTAATAATAATGTATCAATATTGACTCATTAATTATAACAAATGTATCATAGTAATGGACAATATTAATAATAAAGGAGCCCTGGTCGAGTGGCTCAGTTGGTTGGAGCGTCGTCACGTGCACCAAAAGGTTGCAGATTTGATTCCGAGTCAGGGCACATACCTAGGTTGAGGGTTCAATTCCTGGGCATATATGGGATTCTGATCGATGTTTCTCTCTCACATCGATGTTTCTGTCTCTCTCCCTCTCTTCCCCTTTTCCTCTTTCTAAAATCAATAAACATATACTTGGATGAGGATTAAAATAATAATAATAATGGGAATTGTTGGGGTGGGGAGGATATGGGAACTCCCTGTGCCTACCCTTTTAATTTTCTTGTAAATCTAAAATTGTTCTAAGAAATTGTGTCTGTCAATTAAAATAGTCATGCACAGTACAGGGAGTAGAGTCAATAGCTTTGCATGGTGACAGATGGTTACGAGGCTTATTGTGGTGATTGATCACATCATAGGATATATAAATGTTGAATCACTGTGTTGTATGCCTGAAACTAATATAATATTGTGTGACAACTATACTTTAATGTTTAAAATTGAAATAAAATAATAAGATCCTGGAGACTCCAAAGAATTTGCATCTATATGGGTTATACCTATTAATCTTTACTGTATTAGAAATTAAGAGTTTTAAAATATTTATTTATTCACCCAGCTGGGCGTGGCTCAGTGATTGAGTGTCGACCTGGGATCCAGGCAATCAGGGTTCGATTCCCAGTCAGGGCACATGCCCAGGTTGTGGGCTCGATCAATGACTCTCTCATCATTGATGTTTCTCTCTCTCTCTCCCTCTTCTTTTCTCTCTCTGAAATCAATAAAGATATATTTAAAATATTTATTTATTCATTTTAACATAACATAAAAAGCATATTTTATGAAAAATAACATTTTCCAAAACAAGAAAAAACTAGTGAGAAGAGAGGCAATGTTTCTTCACCTTTTGCAAATTGCTTTGATGTCCAGCTTAATAAAAAAATGTGAGATCCTCAGACAGTTGATCCTTATGTTCAGACTCCACAGTAGCAAATTCACTTAAACTTATTTGCAAACCAAAGTCAATGCTCCTGGCACTTTTGTGGTCATTAGTGGACATGCTCAGAGCGATGCCAAATTTGAACTGGCCAACAGGTATGTTCCCAGCTGAGGTTGAACAAGGCTGTGCTCTGCCTTCTTGGATCAGCTGTCATACTATAAAAGATGTCCTTTTCATGGCCTATTTGGTGCCATGTTTTTCTCATTTTTGTGCTTTTTGTAGATTTTTTAAAAATATATCTTTATTGATTTCAGAGAGAGGAAAGGAGGGGGAGAGAGAGAGATAGAAACATCAATAATGAGTCTTTGATCGGCTGCCTAGCCCGCAACCCAGGCATGTGCCCTTACCGGGAATTGAACCCCGATCACCTGGATCCTAGGTCATGCTCAACCTCTGAGCCATGCTTGGCCGGGCTGTAGATTTTTAAATGGCTCCCAGGCATGGTGTTGAAGTGCTGTCTAATGTTTGTTAGCATAAGAAGGCTGTGATGTGCCTCATGGAGAACATATGTGTTAGGCCTCAGTTATAATGCTGTTGGCTGTGAATTCGATGTCGATGAGTTATATATAGATATTTGTGTATTATATATATATACATATACATATATATACATTAAATTGGTGTCTTTAAATAGAAACACCCATAAAACAGGTAGGTACTGATTGGTTGATGACTGACAAAAATGTGAGCAGAGACTCACAACAACCTAACCCAGTGTATCTCCCTAGGAGTAATGGTTTATTTGCTATTTCAGTGTTTGCACAACTTTATAGAACAAAACTACCATGAATAATGAGAATTAAATGCATCTTATGCATTGACTCTGTTGCGATATGTTGTTTTGACTGAAGTATATGAAGAAAATTCAACCTCACACGAACAGATAATTTAAAAAAGAAAGTATTTTGATCAGCTTTTCAGGTAATCGTGACTATTCTTTGAGACTATACCAAAACTCGACACATTTTAGTTTCTTAAAGGATACTTGCAAAGTGGGGTCTGAATTGTCAGTGAAGTTTTTGTACTTTTAAAATTAACATTAAAGCCTACTGAGTGCACCTTTTACCCATGCATGATTTTGAAACATGTCATTTGAAGAATATTAGCTCACTGAGTTACACAGTTCTTACAGATATTAACATTTCATTATTCAATATCCAAAATGGATGCAAAATATACACAATTAACAAAATGTCAACATTTCCAAAAAAAGACAGGATCAGAATTCCTGATTTTCCTTTTGCTTCAGGCTACCATATGGCTTGGCTCAACACTCACTGATTCTGTCTTTAAATTTTTATATTTAGCTCACCATTGATTTTTGTAGTAATTTTGTGGGGCTTATTTTTTTACTGACATTGAAATATGATTTATCTTTTTTAGGAGAATATTACCTCTGAATGGGGAAAAGATAATGTAACTGTATCTCCAAAGAATGACTCAGAAAGAAAAAATAATCTGAACTGTAATTGAAAATAATTATTTTTTAAAAGAGAAGAAGAATCTGACATATTTCACTGTTTTAAAAATTACAGATAAACCCAAAGAGAATGCCCCACTCTCACCCTCACCCTGGCTCCGGGAGTCTCTCATTCTCTCAGTAAGGGAAAGGCTACCGGCTCCCTTTTACAGATGTAAA